TTTTCGATGATTTCTTTTTAATTTATAAGATATTTTTTATTGTCTGTTTTTTCCAACCGTAAGCTATTTTAAGCTTATCCATTACTTCCCTCATTGCGAAGTTTTTTCCATTATTTACTTTTGAATTTCAAGCTTTTCTTTTAAACTGTTTTCATTGAACCATAAATGCATTCCTTTTATGCCTTGTGATACTTTGATTGTATCACTGAAAAAAAAGCGAATTTTTCAGGTAATCAATAATCAACCCAAGTCACGAATGGTTTTAATGAAAGAGTATGACAGGGAAGGCCTGTGCTTCTATACACACTATAACAGTGCCAAAGGAATGCAAATTGATAGGAATCCTCATGCTTCCATGCTATTTTACTGGCCTCATGTTGATAGACAAGTGAGCAGTTTCATCGATTCAGATGAAATTCTTTTCGTCGTGTAGAAATGTTTTAAAAGTAGAGTAGTCTGAAAGAGTGCTTGGAGTTAAAGCTGGATTATTAGGGCCGTTAATAACATGGGAGTTTTTGGTAGTTTTTGCAGCGTATTGCATTGAGGAAAGGATGCTACGTTTAGTGACTGAACAGTTCTAGTGATCTGCAGTTTGTATATTTGTCCTTTTTAGTGACCGAACAGTTCTAGTGATCTGCAGTTTGTATATTTGTCCTTTTTAGTGACCGAACAGTTCTAGTGATCTGCAGTTTGTATATTTGTCCTTTTTCTTAAGCGATTATTTTTAGTGTTATTCAATTAAAAAAAAAATTTGTGTGAAATTACTAAAATATCACATTATATGTTGCAGTAATTTTTAAAATATTAAATTTTAGGTTCGAATGGAGGGCAAACTTGAGAAATTGCCTGTTGACGCTGCAGAAGCTTATTGGTATCATCGGCCATTGAAAAGTCCTATTGGTTCAAAAGTGAGCGAACAAAGCAAGATGACTCCAAACAGGCAGGTTAGATTTCTTTTGCAGAATATTTCTTCGCCATTTGTAAAACTGATCTATCAGTGGTGCTGATTTCCGTCCACTGAAAAATGACGGAGCATATTCTGTTTTCCAGTTCATTAAACTGTAATTTACATTTTAAAATACCAGGAAAGTTCTATATCTATTATAATAATGCAACATCAACGGCTTATCAACGCTGAAATCCGTTCAAATAATTTAAATTTGCTGCATGACGTAATCACTATGAGTGATATGAGAGAATGAATGAAATAGGTTAATGTTCAAGTGATAATCATTTCCTGTTCCAAATTGTCCTTTCCATTTGTTGAAATCAAGTGTGTGACATTTACTTCGACCGCTTCCAGTTCTGGACTTAGTTTCAAAGTTTTGAGTATGCAGTGAATTCGGTTTAATTTGAATTAACTTGTCAGCTTCTTTATTCAATTTAACATTCTTCGCTTACTTTTTGTAGTATCTGGAAGACAAGAAAATGGAATTGGAGAAACTTGTCGCCGAAAAAGGTGAAAAAGCAATTATTAGACTGGTACGAACTTACTTCATTTAAAATTTTATTTAATATTTCATTCTTACAGTTGGCCTCAGTTCTTTCTATACATTCTTAAGAATTCGGTGAATAACATGTGCTGCGTCATCTTCATCGATATAATCAGAGTAATTAATGAATGACGGATGTTTAAGGGTGCTATAGATTGCGTCCACACTATTTTGAATTTTGGCAAGGTCAAACTGATCGGATACATGATTGTATTGTATTTGAAAAAGGAGCTAATGAAACGGAGTGGTTGATTAGGCGTCTTTCACCGTGAAAATCACTCTCAAGGGATCCATGTTAATCCAGCTGATTGTCGAATTCCTTCAAATATAGCTTTCACTGTAAATATAACCGTTAGTAGCTACTTAAATGTCACAAATTAATATAAACTTTGTAATTATAGCCTATACTCCAATAAAAATTCCCTGGAAAAAAGAGCAATAGTTGAAACTCTTTCGCTTCTCATAGTTGATGTTTGGAATTGATAGTTTTTACTTGGCCCAGTTACTATTCTTATTCACTTTAATTTCTATTCGGAAATAGTAAATTTAATAAAATAAAACATTAATTAAATGTGGAATTTATAAAACACAGAGAAATCTCCTTTGGAATGAAATTCATTGCTTTCATATGTTATCCAGCTTTGATTTGTTGCTTCAATTTATTTTCTTAAAGTTTAGTCGCAAATGTTGAAATCTCAGAAAATGTTCTGGAATTTTAACATTTGTGATTAAATGAAATTCAAACGAAAAACGGTATGATTTTGACTTCATAAAAAATTTCTTCCAGAGAAGTTTATAATCATTGTTGAAGTTTGTAGTAGCTGATGAGCGGTTGTTATTATTGTTGTTGAAACTGTGAAAAGATGGGGTCTTTTTTGAATTGAATGGAATATGCCTAAGGAGTAAGTGTTGTTTGGAAGAGTTCGTGAAAACTCTTAAAAGCAGAATTGTAATAGTAACTAATTATTCAAAACAAAATCCATGAAATTATCTTATTTCTCATACTGTCAAGTTATGCTACTATTTTCTCAACTTGCCCGAAATATCGTTAGATGTCGTTATTATCTTGACTTCATCTATGAAAGTATTAAAATATTTTAATTTGTCCAAAAAATTTAAAAGTTTCATAAAAAACAACGTATGTAATCGGAATTCTGTTTGCAGAATTTGCAGAATACTTTTGGTGGTCCTTTCATTGATTGTCGTAAAAGAATCATTTGGAGTGGTAAGGCGACGTTATTTTCTTTCGTTTCGTTTTTGCAAACAAAGGGTTGCAGAAAATCAAGCAGCATGAAGAATCTGAATTAATATCCACGTGAAATGATTACACGTTTTACACGTCTTAATCATAGGCTTTAAATGCTGTAGCACATAATATTAGCTAATAAATCGTTTTGTTTATACTGACTTCTAAATGAAACGGAGTGGTTGATTAAGCACCTTTCACCGTGAATCAGGATGACAGTTAATGAGGATGACAAAATTGATAAGTTTGAATAAAATTTCATACTTTGACAGATGGATGGCTATTTGCAGAATATCCAAAAATCGTTCGAAAAATCGATAATTAATAGTGTTAAACATTGTCTGATCCAAAATTTACAAGTATTTTATTTTATCCTTTTTTTCTTTCAGTTTAAATATTATAAGCAACTGTTGGGTATGCAAGAGGAGTTGCTACAGTTAAATTCGAATATACTTTACAATATCGAAATCGAGATTTTATATC